TACTGCTACACAACAATGTGACTCCCATGTCATGCTTTCAGGGAGTGTTTGCTATGCATAGAGTAACCACATATCCACTCGTGACAAATTTCAATAGGCTTTCATAATGAATTGCACTACAAAGTGATAAGAATATAACATACACTCTGGTATGTACATCTTCAACCCATAACTTTTAAGGTAAACCAACTTGCCTCAACAGACTCTTTGACCATTCCAATGGTGTCCTGTTGAGTCACCTAGCAAGGCCATCATGTTATATATGTTTGATATCATCATTACATAAAGTGTTGTGATATGACGAGTTGTTTTCTCCTTCTCACAATACGTCTAAAATTCAAGTAAGATGATCTCCTAATTATTCTCCTGGGTGATTCTTCACTTCTTCTCCATATGAGTCTTAACAATAGCCCTCAATTGTCTGAAAATGTAAGGCTTCATTCTCAATGTCCGGAAACATATTCGTAAATTTCTTGAGTTGTCATCAGAAAAACTTGAAAAATATGTCGATTTACAATGCAAGGGAGAATACAATAAATACCCTTTTACGTCGGTATTAAAAAAATTCTAGAACAGTCAAAGAGCTATGCACTCAAATACCATATACAGATCATCGATTTATCCAAATTACCTTTCTTCCAAAACTCCAACTTGAACTTAATCATATGGGCCAGAAAAATTGTATTTAGGATGATGAGAGCTTTCTGACTCACGTGGTCAAATCATGCATGCCACAAATGAGTGACTTCATTTGGTAATATAAGAAATATAATAAGAAATGGTTTGTCAATTATTGTACTCCTCAACTATGCATAGCCCCGAGGTACTAGATTCCAAACCTATCTAGCCTAATCATGGTTGAGCTAACTATGGGTCTGCCAATTAGCGTACTCCTCAACTACATGTACTCTACCCTATATATCGTTGAGCTAACTATGGTTAAGAAGCAAAAGAATTAACCTATCAGATTAAAGGTGAAATTTCATAATTTTCCTACATTTTCTAGCCAGCTTGGAGAAAATGAAGTAACCACAATAAGCAGAGAGCTTCAAAGATTGGTGAAGAAACCTAGCGGGTACTAGAGGACTAGTACTCAACTAAGATCTCATAAAATGTGTCGAGAAGATTAACAAACTTCTGACATGTTGAGAACTAGAATCATCCGATTCTAGTTCTCAAAGCCATGTTTGGAACCTTCAGGGGTTTGAGTTTTAGCAAAAGATTGGGGAGGCCCGAGTGGAGACTCGTCGATGTAATACGCCTGGCCTCCATGGCTGGTGAGATCCATACCCTCCATTTCGTCTTCTGGAGAGATTCTGAGCAGGCTACTCTTGTTCAGAAACCAGAAACAAGGGACCATGGTGACAGTGACCCACCCCATGACAACGAGAATTTCCACGAGCTGGGCCGCCAGAAGCCTGCCTCCCCCTCCCATGAAGAGGCCGTGTCCACGCCCGGGACCATAACCCTCGAGCACGTACTTCTCCCGAGCGAAGAGGCCAGTGAAGAGCAGGCCCCAGGCACCGCAGCCCCCATGCAGCTGCGCAGCCTCCAGAGGATCGTCGTACTTGGCCTTGTTCGCGAGGTAATTGAACCCCATCAGAACCCAAGCCGCTCCGAACCCGCAGATGATCGCAGCCCAGGGCTCCACCACTGCACATCCTGCAGTGATGGCCGCGAACCCGCCCAGCAATCCGTTGCAGACATCCGTCACATTCCAGTGCCCAGTGAACCACCTGCGAGCGAACAAAGTGGTCAGAGCTGCAGCACAGCCCGCGAGAGTGGTGGTGACTCCAGTCCTGCCGACTCCACTCCAGTTGCCCTCGAAGCTGGAGCCTTCGTAGGGGACGACGATTTTCACGTACGAGCCGGGGTTGAATCCGAACCATCCGAACCAGAGCAGAAAGCTGCCCAGCACCACGAGCGACGCGTTGTGTCCCTTCATGTCCATGCCGGGCTTGCCATCCCTGGTGTACTTGCCCAACCTCGGACCTTCGATGTACGCTCCCCAGAGCCCAGCGATGCCTCCCACCATGTGCACGACGCCACTCCCCGCAAAATCTATGGCTCCCACTCCGAACAGGCGGCTCGTGGCTGCGGCCCCCAGCCATCCGTCGACCGACCAGACCCAGTGCGCGACGATCGGGTACACGAAGCCCGTGAGGAACGACGAGTAGACGAGGTAGGCGACGAACTGCGTGCGCTCGGCGATGGAGCCGCTGGTGATTCCGGCCGCAGCGATGGCGAACGACCACTGGAACAGGAAGAAGCTGTAATCGAAGCCATTGACCTCGCTCGGCATGTCCTTGAGCGCGTAGAAGTTGCTGCCGATGAATCGATTGCTCTGCGCGCTGCGGCCGAAGGCGAAGCCGAAGCCGAAGAGGTAGAAGGAGATTCCGCCCGCTGCAGCGTCCAGGACGTTCGTCATCATGATGTTCATGGTGTTCTTGGCCCGCACGGACCCCGCGCACAGCATGGCGAACCCGATCTGCATGGAGAAGACCAGGTACGTGGAGAACAGCAGGTAGATGCTGTCCACGGCCAGCGTGTGGCTCGACAAGGTGGCCGACACTCCGTCGAATTTCGAGCACAGCATCTCGCCCACTTGGCTCGAGCTCGCATTGTTGAGCCCCGATGCCGCCAGCAGCCCCGTCAGGACGCCCAGATCACCGTCCACGCAGCCCGCCATCTTGTCCAACCGCTTCGGCCTCCACTCTCGAGCTCTGTCACGCAGCTTGCAACGCTCGGACGGGAAGGTCCAGCCAAATTACCGATAATTGATTCGGCTCGGTAGAAATCATGGACGTCTAGATCGGAATTATAGAGAAAAGTTGGGGGCCCATATTGCATCTCAAGGCACCTTCGAGCCTTCACAAGCGGAGCTGCTCGTGGAGAATCGAAGTTGAGATGATGGATCTCTTGCCAAAGTTCCTGCAATATATAATGCAGCCGAGCGAGCCATGGGCGAGCTTGGGTTGCACATTCGAGTGAGCAGAGTTCGAGTCCGGTATTTTGGGCCGGGTAGATTCGGTGATGGTGACGGTGGTGATGATGATGTTGCAGATTCCGAGTTACAGAGGTCAAGATGGCGCTGGAGTTTCAGAGTGCCTTTGTACTGCACGAGGACTTGCGGTCGGTTCGGAAATTCTGAGACTCGTCTCCGCTCGTTTTCATAAGCTGAGCCAGCTCGATGTCCATCTTAGATTCTAAAGGGCAGTCTAATTATGGCCTTACTTTCGTACACACTCAGCGTATCATGGAGGTTTTCGACATAAGATTCTCCACACAGTTTATTTGAGTGTTCACTTTCTGGGATCCAGATCTTAATGAACTGCCTGATTAGTTAGTTGACTGCTGCCTCGACTTCCGGATTCGCAAGAGCTGAAGAAGTAAGTATTCCAACTGTCAAGAATCGTCGCTGTTCAAAATTACTCAGAACGGATATCTCCGTGATCATTCTGTTTTCTGAATATTGATTCTGGTCCCTCCTCACCACGACTACATTCCTGTTTAAGCGTCAGCCACGAGTAGGAACACAAATTTTAAACAAGGTCTCAAAAAAATGTCAGTCCACCAAGGTCTATTGGAGGATCACGTAATACAGTTTGAAGTGCACATGCAAGTAGGCAGCAGAGAAACTCAATATATGAGAGGCGTGAATGGCAATGTTGGGCTGCGGCCTGCATCCCCAAGAAGCCCCCCAGCATCTTGATCTCTCCATAGATCGAGTACAATATGTTGAGGTTTCAAATTTCTGGAATCGTTATTTCAAAGAATTTATGTTCAGAGAGACCAGAACAGGCAGCATGTTTATGAGCATTACCGTTCGAATTCAAGACGGCTAGGAGGTATTCACCCTGATCTCATGACATGTAGGCTGTAAGGGTGTCTTGATGCAACATCTATAAGAAAGTCTGTTTGTGACGATATTCTAAGGAATTTAAAAGCCTCACTGCTCCCATGCGGTCGGAGTGTCAAAACTCTATCCATACATGAACACTGCAACAAATGCTGTTGGTTGACTGATCCTGTCATAACCTCGATTCCTTTGTCGTATGTACTGATTTAACTTGAGATGACTTTCATGTGTTGATTCAGGTTGTTATGCTGTAAATGTATTTGAAAATATGTTCCACATCACCACGTTAATACTATGTACTTGCCGATTTGAGCCTCCGAACGGGTTGGTAATCTGGCTCGCCCTGAACTCTGAGACCGCGAAGAGTTCAGACAGCACAGCTTATAGGAACGTCTAGTAACATCGTGTCATTCGTCCCTTGTTTATTAAAATTGATCTGAGTGAAGTGCCACGTTACATATTTGTATAAAGGTTGCTCAAGCAAATCGAAGGATCTCGAAGGGACACTCGTATCCTTCCTGGATCCAAACGAGCAATTTCGCCTCACCAACTAGTTGACGTGAAATTAACACGGCACATCCGTAGGAACATCTGAAAATGTAATCACACCGTCTTTATCGCATTTTCAGGCAAGAGAGGGAAAGTGGAAGCAAATGTTTCTGCAGGTGAATCGAATCCTGTGTACTTCCGGGAAGCAAATCTGGACTGTACCAGCTTGCGAGTGCGTATAGTGTACACAAGCTATATCAGATTTAACCCCAATACCCTTGCGACCACTTGCAAGTTCTTGTCCACTCCCATTGGTGCTGCAAGCAGTAGTAATCATTGTGGACCTTTCCGTACATAATACACGTCTATGCGTGGTCCACAACCAACAGTTCGCAAGCAGTCAAAGAGATATTTTCCTAAATTCTCTAAAGCTTGTAGATCAAGATACAAGTTCTCATCTTTTTCCTAAACTAGACTATCTAAGTTCAGCTCACAAGAGCCAAACGTCCCCTTTCATTCAAGAGTTCAATGCGAAATGCAGATTCTCAAGCTCTGAGATGAACTCTTCCAAGCCGGTTTTTTTGCATGATGCATAATTTAAACCTCATAGGCATGAAGCTGTGAAGAATTTACTCAGGGAATACCAATTGTGCATTGTCCGGCTTACAGACCACGAGGGCCAGTTTATTGATGCCAAAATATATATTTTCACCATGTGTTCATGCGTGCATAACCATCAATGTGGAGAGACATTTCGGAGGAAGCCTTCCCAGACGACAGATCATGGGTTGAAAGGATTTGCCAGAAGGAAAGTGAACCGAAAGGTCAGCTTAGAAAAGGTGGCACGTTCAGACAAGAAATCTACTCCGAGTAGGAACTATTGAATCGGAGGTGAATGGACATTTTGATGAAGTCTATATTTCAGGAATTTCAAATACAAGGGAAGAGCTGACATGCACTCCAGTTCGCCTACTTATTATATGGTAGTATTTACACTTGAAGAGATGCAGGGCTGCAGCCCATATGTCACTATCATCTTCTACGTCCCTATGCCGGTACTCCGAGATATTTCGTACTCTTTATACTGCGCTAACTAACTTTTGAGTAATATTCACAGACCCCATTTTGTCGCTTGAGAGGATACATCCACACCTTACAAGAAACAGTACTTCAATTCAGTTCAAGGCATGCCTGTACCTTTCAAGGCTTCTGGGTTGGCTGTCCTCGAGGTAACCTCTGTCCAATTTCCTGAGCAGCCCAAGTGCCACAATTAGTTTCTATGCTTGGTGCAAAAGAACTGCCTTTGTGAGCTCAACGTGAAAGACAAGGATTTCCAGTGTAGTAAAAACCATTTAGAAAACCTGAGATACGCAAAAACGTGATAAATTTGATAAGTCAAGCCGTGCTATTGAGCCAGAAGACTTCAGATTACCAATCCCGATCGACTTGGAAATGATGATAAACAAAGGTAACGTGAAAAAAGGAACAGACATTTGGCTGAGACAGAATTTACACTGATTGTTTATGCTATCAAAAGAGTAACCTACAAAGGGACTAGTTTTAAGACGGCAGAAAATAAAACGTATACGTTTAGTCACCTGATTGGTGTCGCGGAGCCCGAAGCAAAAGAAAATAAACATAGATGAACAGCGAGAGGTGACCAGTCAAAGGACACAGGTGCAAACGATAACGAAGGAAACAAGGATAGAAAACGGAAAATAACGTGAAGTGCAATGTAGACCAACACCGTGGTTGCAACAGGGTCCAGTGACCAGTGACCTTTCCCAGCGTCTCAACGACAAGCATTGCTTTGCCATCAAGCAGCTAAGGAGTATCATCAGTTTAATCGAGCTGCAGGGATTTCTGCTCAGACTCGCGTAAGGCAGAAGTCAGGCCCGACACATGAATGTATCTGTACACTGCCTTGCAGAGGCCAGCGATCTCATAAGGTAGTCAATCGTAAGGATTTCTCCTCCCGTGGCATTCTACAAGGGGATGTATTAATTCCAGTTGGACAATATGCGCAGGCTTTGCCTACACGTTCCTGATCCGCCAACTTGTTTCTATTTGATCGATACATAAGAAAACGGACAATGAGCTGCCTTTGACTTGAGACGACGACTGAATGTCATTAACGAAGAAAATGCGTTACTTTCATATAAATAACCCAGCTTCATACTCACTTCAAAAAGGAGGTTGACGTTAGTTGCTAGCTTTGCTGAAGTCTCAATAAAGAACATGCCGTTACTTTCAGCGTAAGCTTGAGAATCCTGGAATGTGCAAGATCCAGAACAAACATTAGCCTGGTGACGGGGGCTGCATTCTAAGGGCCATTTGATTCTAAAAGCTATACATGAACATATGAATATTTCACATAGTGAGCCATATCTACTTCCAATCTACAACCCTTTTCTTCAGTAAACGCTGCAAATAAAAATGTGTGGACGGAATGTATCATAACACAGATTCGGCTCTTGGCATATCTCTAGGAAGAAAGACAATTACCTCAGAAGCAACCTCTCGTGACTCCTCTAGATCTGCCTTGTTGCCAACCAGGGCCATCACTATACCAGGACTCCCATGCTTCTGCAGCTCCTGTCGAACGAATAGGCATACTCCATGGTTAGTATTGACGGTGTAGAAAATGTTTTCGAAATGAGTTTGCACGTGGATGACAGGAAAGTGCCTAAGGTAACTGCTTCTCAAACCTAGGCTATAGTGGAGACGAGCTTTGATTCTTTGCATCGAAACATGAAGAGTGATGATCGTACAGTGAATCTTTAACCACAACGTAAGCAACTCACCTTCACCCAATCCTTTTAGGTTTTTTTTAGGAAGACCAGGTACGTGGAGAACAGCAGGTAGATGCTGTCCACGGCCAGCGTGTGGCTCGACAAGGTGGCCGACACTCCGTCGAATTTCGAGCACAGCATCTCGCCCACTTGGCTCGAGCTCGCATTGTTGAGCCCCGATGCCGCCAGCAGCCCCGTCAGGACGCCCAGATCACCGTCCACGCAGCCTGCCATCTTGTCCAACCGCTTCGGCCTCCACTCTCCAGCTCTGTCACGCAGCTTGCAACGCTCGGACGGCAAGGTACAGCCAAATTACCGAGAATTGATTCGGCTCGGTACAAATCATGGACGTCTAGATCGGAATCCTAGAGAAAAGTTGGGGTCCCATATTGCATCTCTAGGCACCTTCGAGCCTTCACAAGCGGAGCTGCTCGTGGAAAATCGAAGTTGAGATGATGAATCTTTTGCCAAAGTTCCTGCAATATATAATGCAGCCGAACGAGCCATGGGCGAGCTTGGGTTGCACATTCTAGTGAGCAGAGTTTGAGTCCGGTATTCTGGGTTGGGTAGATTCGGTGATGGTGACGGTGGTGATGATGTTGCAGATTCCGAGTTACAGAGGTCAAGATGGCGCTGGAGTTTCAGAGCGCCTTTGTCCCTGAACGAGGCCTTGCGGTCGGTTCGGAAATTCTGAGACTCGTCTCGGTTTCGATGTCCATCTCAGATTCTAAAGGGCAGTCTAATTATGGCCTTCATTTCGTACACACTCAGTGTATCATGGAGGTTTTCGACATAAGATATTTCACACAGTTTATTTCAGTGTTCACTTTCTGGAATCCAGATCTTAATGAACTGCCTGATTAGTCAGTTGACAACTTTGACTGCTGCCTTGACTTCCGGATTCGTAAGAGCTGAAGAAGTAAGTGTTCCAACTCTCTAGAATCGTCGCTGTTCAAAATTACTCAGAACGCATATGTCCGTGATCATTCTGTTTTCTTATTTTGAGTCTGGTCTCTCCTCACCACGACTACATTCCTGTTTAAGCGTCAGCCACGAGTAGAAACACAAATTTTAATAAAGGTCACAAAAAAATGTCAGTCGACCAATGGTAGATTGGAGGATCACGTAATACAGTTTGAAGTGCACATGCAAGTAGGTAGCGGAGAAACTCAATCTATGAGAGGCGTGAATGGCAATGTTGGGCTGCGGCCTGCATCCCCAAGAAGCCCTCCAGCATCCCGATCTCTCCATAGATCGAGTACAATAAGTTAAGTTTCCAATTTTTGGAATCGTTATTTCAAAGAATTTATGTTTAGAGAGACCAGAAAAGGCAGCAATTGAGCATAATCGTTCGAATTCAAGACGGCTAGGAGGTATTCATCCTGATCTCATGACATGTAGGATGTAAGGGTGTCTTGATGCAACATCTTGAAGAAAGAGTCTGTTTGTGACGATATTGTAAGGCATTCAAAAGCTTCCTCGCTCCCATGCGGTCGGAGTGTCACGACCCTATCCATACATGAACACTGCAACAAATACTGTGGGTTGACTGATCCTGTCAAAACTTTGCTCATTTCCTTTGTCGTATGTACTGATTTAACTTGAGATTCCCTTCGTGTGTTGATTCAGGTTGTTCTGCTGTAAATGTATTTGAAAATATGTTGCCACGTCATCACGTTATTACTATGTACCAGCCGCTTTGAGCCTCCGAACGGGTTGGTTATCTGGCATACACTGGCCTCCAAGACCGCGAAGAGTTCAGACAGCACAACGTATAGGAACGTCTCGCAATATCGTGTTACTTGTCCCTTGTTTGTGGAATCTGATCTGGGTGAAGTGCCTCGTTGCATGCCAAATGTTTTAAAATGCTCAAGCAAATTGAAGGATCTCGAAGGGACACTCGTATCCTTCCTGGATACCAAAGAGCAATTTCGCCTCACCAACTAGTTGACGAGAAATTAATATGACACAACAGTAGGAATGTCTGAAAATTTATTCATCCCGTCTTTATCACATACCTTCGATAGCAGTGACTTGGCTCACATAAGTAGTTGTGGAATATTACTAGAAAATAGTGCCTTGGCTGCTGGCCACGGCAACATCAAACGGCCTTCTTTCAATAGGAGGGTTGTGATTTTCTTGAACCCTTCTAAACCTTCAATTGTCGCTTCTCTTCTTGTGGCATTGTAAACCTTCATTTGTCACTTCTATTCTTGTAGCATTGTCGAATTATCTTGACACTCTTCATTCACGTTCTCTTTTACAACCTCCGACAACAAAAAGAACTGTGAAAGCCTTGGGTATGTCCCTCCTTCTTCTCTTTATAAATCCAACTTCACCACTATCATGTGGTTCTTAAGTCTTTGTCTTCCCACGGATCATTGCTGCACAAGCATTAACTCGCTCCACCTGTGCAGTTCCCGCGATCATCCATTCTTTCCTCGAATCAAATGATGCGTTTGATTTGAGTGCCAAAGCTACTCCTGAAGCACTTCAATCTTGAGAGCCATATTTGCCTCTAAGTCAGCTCTACAATTTTATCTTGTCTAGTCTTGCTTTTCCAGCAAGCCTTTTTTGCTATTTTGCGCTTGATTGCACAACTAAGAAAATATCTATCTTGAGTTTGCCTCAGTTTCTCAGACTGAACAACCTCTTGTAACTTCTTTGGACAATCATAAGCAATGTGTTCATATCTGCCACGTTGCTATGCTATGAACTTGTTATGAGTGGTCATATTTGCCACACTCATAACAAGTTCTACCTAAACTTGTTTGACTTGAAACAACTCTTGTTCTAGGAGTCTGCTCTAGTTTAGAAGTCTTCCTAGCATAAACATCCCTTTGTGCATGTGAGGCAGTTGTGCCTGTGCTCGGAGGTCATATTGCACGGACCTGCTACTCCAATATTGAGCTCTCCTAGCTCAGCCAACTCAAATACGGCCTTAGGTGTAGGAATCTTTTGACTTCAGCAACATGAAACTTTTTCTCTATTCCTTAATTCTAGTGAAAGCATAGCATACCAATATTGGACATATGTGGTTGTGTCGCAACTCATGTAGTTATAATCAACCTTCTCATCCGTGATTATGCTTCTCTCAAGCTCTCATCATTCTTCCGTTAAAAGTCTTGCAAAATATTTAGCTTGTCAATTCCTGCTACTTGGTAGCTCTTTTCCAACATCTTGAAAAGTTTCAAAATTGGATTGAAACTAGGCGTATAATAATTGATAAATACCCAAATGGAGCATAATGGTACAGATCTGATCCCACGAGGATAGAAACAATACCAGAGATTCAAATATTGTCACGATTAACATTCTATTCACAAATTTTACTTCTCATGCACATGTCACTCCCATAAGCATCTACAAATGTTGACCCGAAGTCGATACAAATGCAAGGTGAAATCATATCCAAGTCCTGAATTCATCCAAAAAACCCCACAGAAATCGCAAGCAAATCTGCACTTGATATTCAGGGGAAAAACTTCCCAATATTACACACTCAACCGGCTGCATCAGCTCAGCTTAGCATCCAACTCCCTTCTGCGCTTTACCTCTAAAGTTTTGACATCATCGCAATCAGCTAATCGATTCTCCAAGCGAGCTAATTCGGTAGCCACAAACCGTTCTCGTGCCGCCAAATGCACTATAAGCTCCTCCGCGCGCTGAAATTTTCTCTAAATTGCTGCCCGAGACGCTTCCAATCCGTCTCGAAGTTCTACCGTCACCTTCTGCGTTGTGCAAACGTCAACCCGTAGGCCCTTGCACTCTAGCTCCTTCTGCGTACGAAGGCTCCTTTCAGCGACTAACTCTCGCCAAAGTTCTTCGCACTCCAACTCCTTCGCACAAATTTGTTTCTCCCGCTCTTGCAAGGTAATTGTCATGATCGCTGTAACACTAGAGTTTAGAGAGAAACTCACTCGAAGATAAAAACGTAAACCCTAAAGATGAGAGATACCAACAATGGTTCTCCTCTTTCTTATATAGCTCTCACCAAGAAACACAAGGTGATAAGATATAATCCCCACCATCCATCCCACTCCTAGTGGATCGATGACGTGGCGGATAACCCTAGCAAGCACACGTATCGCTGACGTGGCGCACCCAACTAACACACTAACTAACACACTCAATCCTTACCTACAAGCACACGGATTGCTGACGTGGCACTGTCAACTAACACATCCACCCTGTACCTACCAAGTGCGCGGATTGCTGACGTGGCAGCTATGACTAGTGCACACTAAAGTATCTACATCAATATTTAGACTAACGTCTACTTTAGTTCTAACTAACTAAAGATGGTTACAAACCTCCCTCCTTTTAAGATGCAACGTCCTCGTTGCACATACGTTCAAACTCCTGAACTATCAAAGGTGCATTTGCTAAATTTTTAGCTGGTTCCCAAGTTGATTCATAGTATGGATAGCCTTCTTATTAAATCAAATACTCTACTTTAGGATATTTATTACCTCGAATACGTTTCTTGAGTATCTTTTCTACCTCAAACTCCTCATGATCTGCTATCAAGGTTGGAAGAGGAGGTGGTGCTGGTTGGTTGGTGAATTGTTTTGGTCGTGGTACATGTTTTCGCAATCATGACACATGAAATACTGGATGTATTTTCATATGTGACGGAAGTTCCAACCTGTATGACACTTCACCAACACGCTTCAAAATCAAAAATGGACCAATGAACCTAGGGTTCAACTTTGGTGTTCCTACAAGAGACAAATTTGTTGTAGATAACCAAACATGATCTCCAACCTCAAAAACCACTTCTCTACGATGAGCATCGGCATGCTGCTTTTGCCGATTTTGAGCTATCAGCAACTTCTCCTTGGGTTGATGTAGTCCTCGATGAATATGCTCCACAAATTTGTTGACTGCTGCAACTTTGGTCAAAAACCCCTCTCCTTTGGAAAATCTCATCAAACTTGAAGTTATAGGATGAGCTCCATACATAAGAAAAAATGGAGACAATTTTGTGGATGCATTAACAGAATTGTTATATACAAAAATTGTGGTAACACACTTTTTGTTTTTTTGCAGAATTTAAACAATTTTAGAAAACTAGTACCGAAGCAGTGTTTGTAGTTAGAAAAGGGTACGCTAAATAGAGTGGATTGATGAGATCGTCACGAGGACACAAAGAATCACGTAGTCGGATGTACCAACGCCAATGTCTTCGGCGCCTTCGGCAAAAGCTCCTTTTCTGAGGTGTCTCTACTCACGCGACTCCAGCGTATAAGGAAGCTACCCTTCCGGCGCAGACACCTCAGGAGGAGGTTTTGCTAAAGACGTCAGGAGAAGGGCCCGGACCTCTAAAGGCGTCCGACCATGAGTGCGCCTTCGGCGAAGCGCCGCTAGCGCGGAAAGGGGAAACCTTCATAACAATCGGGATACACGGTAGATCCAGTTGATTGAAGTTGCATTAGAAAGAGCTCGGGACGCTCGTTCTAAAGAGCCCAAGAGCGTTGGAGATGGATCAGGGACGGAGAAGTTATGAGCGTTGGAAAACTCATAGCCGGACATGCGCCGTTCGCGCTAGGG